ATGGATATTGGTTGGGAATTGATGTTACACCCACCATATAGCCCTGATCTCGCGCCATCGGATTACCACTTATTTCGATCCCTGGACAACTCTCTTCGTGGTAAAACTTTGAATGAGACGATGACGCTGTAAAATCTCATTTAACTCAGTTTTTGGCCGAAAAGGATCACACTTTCTACGAGCGTGGAATTTTCAAGTTGTCAGAGAGACGGCAAAAGGTCATCGAACAAAATAGAAAATACATTACAGCTTAAACTTCGTTCCAAGTAAAAAGAAATTTTTTATTTCATTGAACAAATCGACAATTGCTTAGTTGCCAACCCAATATTTAGAACTGCTTGTATGGACAACATTTTTAAATAGAAAGTGCAGTAATGTCTCACTAATTGACGCTCAGATTGTGCACAAAAAATGGAGAGTTTGGGAAGAGGAAATACGATTATTCGAGCCTTGCAGCTCGTTTTTATTGTTCTTGACCATTCGAAACTATGAAAACGAACTGCGAGGCTCGAATAATCGTATCTCCTATTCCCCAATTGGTACATTTTTTTGTATAAGCTGAGGGTCAATTAGAGAGACATTATATATACTCTATTTGGGTAATTACAGTAAATTCTCTCTAATTGGGGCTCAGCTTGGAAACAAAAATGGACAACTTGGGAAGAGTAGATATGATTATTCGAGCTTTGCACCTCATTTTTATAATTGTTTATAATCTGCGACTATAAAGACGAGCCGCGAGACTCGATCAGTCGTATCGTTTCGGTAGAACAAAACATCCTCTTTCGAATGATTTACAACATTACACCAGAAACATTTAATAACATGCGGAATGTTAAAATTAAAAAAAACAACGGAAACTTAGTTGCCAACCCAATAAATCGAAAGAGACTTGTGCACGCTTCAATGATTTCTTATTTTCATGTTAGAAACTGTAAAGCAGCCTGTCTCGCGCGAAGTTGAAGCGAATCATTGTGAAATAGTTTCACATTCGAGTGAATTAAACCATTTCGAAGTATGGCAAGTAGTCTGACGCGTTGAAATTACCTGGTTAATTTATCGGGAGAAACTTGTAAAAATGATTTTTCATGCGATTCGAGATAAAACATTGCGCAGGATGTTGCTTCGTAAGAATGTTCAGGATCATTAACCCTTTCGGTACGAGCCATCTGACGACCAATATGGACGAGTGCCGAATACATCTGGCATCCATGTAAGCCATATTTCTGTAGGCCCTTTACAGAATGTTTACAGGAAACATTTAAAGAAAGATTTAGAAACGGATTAAGCACAGTCATTACTTAACGCTTAAGAAAATCTTCGTACAAAAGTGGACTGACCCTGCGTTATGTGCGCATTTTCGGCGCGGCACCCCGTACAGTGGTAGTGTCACGGCGGACAACGCGCTCGTACCGAAAGGGTTAAAATCTGTGCATCGGATCCAAAGCCAAAGTTTATTTTCTTCGTTCACCAGGCTGCGAAAGAGGCGTGCCAGGCAGAGTGTAATCGCCTGCGAGCCGAGAAAGCCAATTTGGAGAAGAAGATCGCGGATTTAACCGCGGAGATCGAGCAGCTAAAGAAAGCTCTTGAAGCAGAGAAAGCGGCTACAAGCAAATGCGAGGCGGAGCTCGCGGCCTTGAGCAGCGAGCTGGACGCATTGAAGAGGGAGTTGGAAAATTTGAGGGACGAGAACCGAAGGTGCGAAGGAGAAGCGGACGATCTTCGGAAACAGATCGCAGGGCTGAACGGCGAACTGGACAGGCGCAGGGAAGAGCTCGCCGCGTTGAGGAACGCCAACGAGAAGCTGAAGGCCGACGTGGCTGCGTCGAACAACGAGAGAAACAGACTGCAGGAGGAACGTGACAAACTGAAGGCCGAGGCAGATGCTGTGAAGGAGGAGAACGCCGCGCTTCATCGGGATCGAGACAAGCTGGCGAACGAAGCTACCAGGCTGAGGGGCGAGGGTGACGGACAGCGAGGGGAGCTCGATAAGCTCAGGTCCGACTTGGCTTCGCAGAGGGCTGCCGTCGACAAGTTGCAGACCGACCTGAAGGACTGCCAGGCCGAGAACGGCAAACTGCAACAGCAGCTGAACGAATTAAAGAGCGATTTGGATAGATCGAAAGACGAGAGGAGCAAGCTGGACAAGTCACTGGCGGACGCGGAGGCTGAAGCTAACGCTTTGGAGGCCGAACTCAGGGATCTGCGGGCCGAGAAGCGAGAACTGCTCGATGAACTTGAGCGGCTGCGCGGCGAGTTGGTTCGCCTTATGAACGAGACTGATAAACATAAAGCAGCCACGAAAGAGCTGGTCGCCTTGAAGGAGGAGTTGGACGCTTTAAGAGCGGCGCTGGACAAGGCCCGCGCCGAAAACGAAGAATTGATCAGGGAAAACGAGAAACTGAGGTCTGACGCGGCGAAATTAAATCAGCAGCTGCGGGCGTTACGGGACGAGAACGAGGCGACGAAGAGGGAGAACGCGGCGATGTCGTCGGAATTAGCCGCGACAAAGGCCAAATTAAAAGATGCTGAGGACCGGCTGAACGATCTGCGCGCCGAGAACGATGCCCTGAGGGAAAGGGTCGCCGACCTCGAAGGCGTGGCGAAGGAGCTCGAAACGGCGGTGAAACAGTTGGAGGATCGCAGAACGGAGCTGGAGAGATTAAAGGCGGAATTGCAAAAATTGAAAGACGAGAACGGGAATTTGGAGAACGAGCTCGAAGACGCCCGGGACGAATCGAAGAGGCTTAAGGAAGTGAACGACAAGCTGCGAACGGATCTTGACGCTTTGAAGGGGGCTCGTGATAAGTTGAGGGAAGATTTGGAGAATCTGAAGGCGATCAATGAGAAATTAAAGGACGAATTGGGCGACTCGAAGACGCTGAACGACAAGCTGAAGGACGATTTGAAAAATCAGAAGGCGATTAACGATAAGCTGTCGGATGATTTGGACAGGTCGAATGCCGCGAACGATAAGTTACGGAATGACCTCGACGCGCTCCGGGCAGCCAATGATCGTTTGAGAAATGATTATACGAAGTTGTCGGCCGAAGCTGATAAATTGAAGAGCGACAGCGAAAATTCTGCGGCGGCGTTGAAGAATGAATCGGAGAGGTTGAGAAAGGATAATGACGATTTAAACAACGAGATTGAAAGGTTGAGGGAACAATTGAGCGACTGCCAGGATGTAGTTGCAAGGTTGAAAGGAGAATTGAAGGAGTGCCAGGATGAAAATGATAGGATGCGCAAAGAATTACGGATCTCGAAGAACGCAAACAGGAAACTAAGAGCGTCCTCAGGTTCGAATATTAGAACAATTGATTATTATCGAATATTTATTTTATATAAATATATATATAATATTATTATATTATATTATATATATAATATTATCATATTATATTATTATATATATATAATAATTATTCAAATAATTATTCGTTATTATGTTACTCTCATTGAAATATTCTTTACTGGATTTATTCTGATTACTTATATATTTTTTAAAGCAATCTTTAATATCGTTTTTACTTATTAAAATATTATTACCCTACCTACGTTCTCATAATATTATAACGAATATAGAGCAAGACACGGCGATCTTGAAAAGCCTTGCAGACAATTGCGGCGATTTCATTAGGGCGAACGATTTGTTAACGAGAAAGCTTGACAAGCAAAACGAAGGTGAACGCTTTTTATTAAACAACTTTATACATATATCTTAATCTCTTAATTCGTACGTTTCGAATATTTTCATTTATTCGATACAGGCGTGCAACGTGTTCGTGATTACATAACATTTTTGGAAGGTAAGGTTGAAGGTGAACCCAAGATGGCAGACGAGATGGACGACGACCTATATATTGATCCGGAAATGAAAAAGGAGATAGCAGACTTATTGAAAAAGTCGAAGGATTTGTCCGACAATATTTATAACACTGAACAAGAGATTCAGAATATTGCAGGCATTCTGAAGCAACTTCAGGTATGTTCGATATACGTATAATTATGATCTAAATATGCAAAAAAATATGTGATACACAATGAATAATTAATTTTGTTTTATTCACGCACGACTATAGATATAAACATTTGTATGATTAAAATTATCAGACTAGGTAGAAAAATAATATTTCGATTTAAAAAAAAATCTTTGATTATTGACAAATTAATTTATATTGAAATAACATTGAACATTCGATATTTGTCAGGATGCGGAGAAACCAACAGGAGCGTTCGATCCCGATTCCTGGCTTAACGTAAGTAATACAAGTAATCTTACCTTATACCTTACATTAAGCGATGCTTAACTTTAGTACGGCAATTTACGATACGGTGTTCCGTCTAGTAAAAAAAGACACAAATAGATCATTGAGCTTGTACAGGATTTAAGTTAATACCGCAATTTTTGTCGTAATGTATTCTTATGTATGTGTGAACAGCAATATATCCTGTTCAGCTTAATAACGTAGTTGAATAAATGATTGAACTTTGATACTCTAATAACTCATTCCATATTCCGTATAAACCAACAAAGTCTTTCAGGTTCAAAGTCTTAAACCTTAATCTCATCTCTCCGAACGTATATTAAAATTTAATGATTCAGAAACTAACGATTTTTCTCATCTTCTTGGGATTATTAGGAATTAAAAATTACTCGTGTTCCACGTTGCATATTTCGTCCAACAACATTTCTTTATCTTATAATAGAAATAGCTACACATCATTTCTTATTACAATAACATGTTTTATATAATAGTATTCATTGCAGTTGCTTTTCAAAGTCAATTATTTACGCATACTGAAGTGATCTTTAAAATCTTGTAGAATCTTGGATCCCCAAAGCAACTTAGTTTCCTTTATTAAGTAATAAATAATAAATAAATAAATCTATGACGTAGATAACAATGTTTTATATAATGGTATTCATTGCAGTTGCTGTTCTAAGTCAATTATTTACGCATACTAAAGTGATTTTTAAAATTTTGTAAAATCTTCGATCCCCAAAGCAACTTAGTTTCCTTTATTAAGTAATAAATAATAAATAAATAAATCTATGATGTAGATAACAATGTTTTATATAATAGTATTCACTGCAGTTGCTCTTCTAAGTCAATTATTTACGCATACTAAAGTGATTTTTAAAATCTTGTAAAATCTTGGATCCCCAAAGCAACTTAGTTTCCTTTATTAAGTAATAAATAATAAATAAATAAATCTATTATGTCTCGGCAGATCAAAAATTTATTTTCACTTACCAATACAGCAAAAATGTGTATTAAATATACAGGGTGAGCCAGAATTCGTATAACATTTTCGTATCCGGAACTTCGTTTTCGAGAAAATCTTTGTAAAGAATTTAATTAATTGTCGTCTACCGCAGTTGCCTTCGTCCGAGGTAGCGTTTACAATCATTAATTGTCGCGAACTATGTGGTAAATGTTCGTAAACACTATCTCGGACGGAGACACCTGCGGTAGAGAAGAATAAACGACACCTGAATCCTTTATAAAACTGAACAAACTTTAAAGTCGATTTTCTCGAAAACGGAGCCCCGGATAAAAAATATTATACCAAATTTGTTTCTTATTTCTTCACGTAAAATCACACACTGCTCGGCTGTACTACGAATTTCTGTCCACCCTGTACATTAATCTGGCCGTTCCATTTTCTGCAAATTCTACGCCGTAACTGTAAAGCTTTCTCGAATTACATTTTTGACTAGTGGTTAATAATTTGTTTCAGTCGTTGACATTGACGCAACTGGCAGAGCTGCACGACAAGATCTGCCTATTGACCTCGGACATGGTGAATCAGGATAAACCGAGAGCAGTTAGCTGCGAGCCGGGAAGTCCACTAAGAGCGGATTACAATATTTTAAATCAGCGGATAGCCGCTCTGCAGAGACAGATAGCGGAGAAGCAAATGGAGACGGGATCGAAGCTGCAAGAGCTGAGGCGGGCTCTTCGGCAGGAGCAGGCTAACCTAATTCGAATCAACGACGAAATGAATTTAGAGAGAAGACGTAATTTGACCCTTCAGTCCAGAATGGATGATGCATCTTAATTCGGTTCCCTTTAATCTAATTCAATGTCGCCTCCACGACGCTACGAATGAAAAGTTCTTATAATGAATTCGTTGAGAGAGATATCACCGACAAACAACAAAGAATACACCGTCCCGTTCCTTAAGAAATTATTCATTTGTCGGTTCAGTCCCATTGTAATTAGATCGATGTAAAAAATATGTTTAAATAAGAGTCACAGTATTATCGAATTCGTTCGATTTCTTCGAGTCTCTGTATTTTGCATGAAAACTGACTCTGTGAAAAACGATTAAACCAACTTTCGCACGAAAATTCGCGTCAAACGACAAGGGAACTGGCAGAGAAAACGGAATGCGTTCATTAGTGTGAAGCATGGGTTCCGCGTGCTTTAAGTGACAACAACAAAAATCAACGAGCTTGGTTGAATGAATTTTTCGAGTAGAAACCGAGCGATTTCTACCAACGAGGTATCGAAAATCTTGTCGAACATTGGGAAGAAGTTGTAAACAACAAGGAAGAATACATTACTGATTAATTAGTCGTTAACCCTTTGCACTCCGCTGTCCCCTCTCGTGGGACATCGTAATTCTAGCATATCACTCGGATGTCCCCTCTCGTGGGACATTCAAGTTTATTAGCGATTACGGGGAATTGAGTTATTTCAGCGCAACTTTTTGAGACATGCGTGTTTCCCTGAAGTTTTCTCTTGAAATGGCTCAAGAAATCGAATCAAAATATAGTAAAATTACTAAGATATATACAAGAAATGTCAGCGGGTTTTGACGAGAACGTGAGAGGCGTGCTCACGACGGTCCGAGCACTTCAAAGGCGCCACTTGAAAAGAGCGATAAGGCAAGTTTGTAGAAGAAAGATCGGTATGCGAACATAGCACGCACTGTATAGTGAGATTTATAATCATAAAATCTGGAGGAAAAGATTTTCAAAGCTGAACTCAGTCTGGTTTGAAGCGTCGAGCGGTATAGATAGATCTAACGAGTGAGAAAATCGGAAAAGTGATTCTTCTCTTGGTAAATAAATTGTTTGGTAAAAGTTTTTTTGGTAAATATCATCTTGTGAGTTAGTAATAACAATTAGAAATTTTCAACCTATGTATTTATTCATATTTTTTATTAGAACAATGGCAAAACGTTCAAACACGAATGAGTCTCATGACACAAGTAGTAGCGAAGATGAGCTCCAGATAGACGTTTATACAGATATGTTAGAAAGACTAACTGTAGAAGGTTTTCTTCTACAGTTAGTCTATCGTTTTGATAGCAGTGATAGTGATATCGTCCAAGCAACAAGGCGACGAGAGAAAGAATTCGCATAGATAGCGATTACAACAACAAAACAAAATTACAAAACAAACAATAACGAAATTATAAAAAATAAAATATTGATCTTTTTGCAAATTTCTCGATTTCAGCCAAATTCATATAAGTCCAATATCATTATAATATGTTAGTTAGTTCCAAAAGCATACTAAATAATACGAGGGTCTGTAAATGCCCGTTTCTGCCGAACAGTGGCGCTGAGTAGCTGGTAGCCAACGTCCAGAATGGTTCGGAGTGCTAAGGGTTAATTATAGGCTCGACAACGTGATCATTTACTTGCGTTTAGTCCTCAAGCCTTTACACACGCTTACGTTTATAACACTGTTAAAAGCGTAATTATTGTACGAGTCATGAAATGGAAATACTGTAGATCAATTAATTTTGAAAATCAATTTGGATTTAGAAGAATTATTTTGGATTTAAAGTTGAAACGGCTTCGAGTGCAAGGTGAACATGTAAAATGTCGATTTATGTGTCAAAATATTGACCGTTCATTAAAGAATTGACGAATATTTGCAACGTTGGCAAATAAATAATGATTTACTTTTACGATTCTACCATGAAAGAATAGAAAATCCAATTTATTCGTATTTTAAACTATGATCCATAATTTACATGCACAAACTTCAGCAAAATTGGATTAGTAGCAAGAAGAACAAATGCAAATGCATTGTTTTTATGCGTTTCTGTGTAGACAAATTAATCATTTTTGGAAATTATTTACACGGTTCAATTTATCGTTCGCATAGGTTAGCGAATCGAATTTCTTTCAGCTCGAATGTAATAAGGAATGAAACATTCGAATCAGATGTGCCTGATGCACAGCAATCTGCCTGCCATCAGCGCGGATGTTGCAGGGTAATCGCGGCGTGTGCAGTAAAAAACAAGCGGAAAGACACGCGGTTCTGTCGTAACGAACATGTAACATGTGACATGTAACATGTTGCACCGAGCGAACGTGCCCTACGTTTGCCAACACGTTTTTATGAAACACAGGCGAGTAGTTAGGCGACATTAAATCTGTTTGCTCTGTTTTTCTAAGTTTCCATGGTGCATCAAATCTAATTTACGGGATATACGAGTAAAGCAAGGGTGCGTCAACCACAGGACGCAAAGGTGTTCTTCGAACGTGGCGCAACGAACCAACAATAATAACAATTTTTTGATCGAACAAAAACAATCAATGGAAAAATTACATCGCGATTTTTTACGGAAATTCCCCTTTGTTTGGACGCATTTCAAAATCCGAAATCGATAGAAGCAAGGTTATTTTAAAAAGCGGATTAATACTGTATAATAACTTCCTTCGAAATTGTTATTTAATCCCTCAAGTGAAAATAATGCATATTTAAATATTTAGATATCATATTATCTTCTAACCGTTAAAAAAGAAATTATTATGATACTTAATGAATGATCGGAAAATAAAAAATATTAAAAAAGAAATTGAAATAGTTCGTACATTTTGTTCACAATCATTTCAATTGTCGCAAGAATTTTATCTTAATATCATTGTAACTTGAAAAGGATATTTCTCAATTTTCATTTCGATTTATTTTTTGTTTTCGCCGGCAATATTTATGTAAATTCATGAAATAATTCTACATGTGTGAACATACACATCAAACACAAAAACTACAACAACAACAATATAACACATTCAATACAATAAATTTAATATTTTTCCTTTGCGTGATAATTATTAAAGAATCACACGCATGTTGTGTGAGTGGCCATTAAAGCGTTAATCTCAGCATTACTTTATTAATCTGTTCTGTTACAAATGAAACGCTGTCCACATTTATGTAAATATATCAAATAAAAATAGATATATTCTAGTTTTATTTTGCTATAACTCCTCGCATAGAGCCGAACTAAATTAAATCGTCTGCACACGCATGTTTCCCTGAAAATAAATCCTGAGACAAGTTAGGAAAAATTATGCAGCTCCTTTTACGGTACAATCATTCAAAAGCCTATCATATGAGCCGTTTATTTTGAAAGTGGCATAAGTCACTTTACCGTAATGAAAAGTGGTGATTTTTTAATGTTTATACGAAATTATTTATACTGAGAAAAATATCAGTATCCTGAGATAACAAATACAGGTAAATCTTCTCGAAAGTTAGCATCCATATTTTTAAACGTGTTAAAACGCAAACTCTTAAATATATCGACTTGAAAACAAATTGACTTATGATAAATATTTCTAACTTTTTTCTAGCATACACATACACGCATTGACACACTTCTGTCAACTATACAGAGCGTTTCGCTTGAAACTTCAATGTCTCCTTCAACAGTGATGACACAAAAAATGTTCTATATGAAATTTGATTGGTTGACAAGAGAATAAAATTTCTTTTGGAAAAACGAATTTCTTTTTAAGGTGACTTTGTTTTAATGTTTCGTATCTTGAAGGAGATATAATTGTAACGAAGACAAATTAAGCAAAGTTAAATAAATAAATAACAAACGTAGAATAACAAAGTCAAAAGTCATTTCAACGTTAGCTACACGATACAATAAAAAATACATATGCACTTATACACGAATCAATATCGATGGCTTTAAAAACTCTAATGTAAAATGCATTGTAATTATGCATCGTACTCGTCTTTTCACACTAATCAAATACCATGTAGAATGTATTTTTTGTAACGTCGCTATTGACGGAGATATTGTGTTGCTCGGTTATTCAACGAGACACCATGTATAGCCTCGGCGTAAACAGGAACACGGATCGAGAACTATTTTCAAATAATCGTTCCTAAACGATCCGTGATAATTTACTATCCGCTGTTTAACCCGCGCCGTTCGTAATGAAACGGAAACGTACGCGGACGCCGGGTCTCCTAACATTCGATATTGCGGCAGCGAGACCGTAAAAATCCGCGGCGACCGTAAATTAAGCGGTACGCAGGAAAATCCATAGTGTTCAGCGCCGCCTAAAATTAGCCGGCCGTATCATTGGCCTCAAAGTAAACGCGGTTAATCGCGTTTTCGAATCGATTGTGTAAATCCTGAAGACAATTAATTCCCGAAAGGTAAACTGGGCAAACCGTAATGGCCGGCAACCGGGAACTTTCAATAAGCTGACGTCGGTTTGATAATAGGCGCGGCCATGGGCCCCGTGGCACTTTACGAGCTTATTCCAATTCGGGACCGACGAGCTAAACGGATTCCGTCAATAGCAGCGCGTCGCAATTATGTTTATGCTCTTTGTCGGGGAACATCCGGCGCGGATCGGGCCGCGGATCGTCGCGACACGGACACGCGAAGCCGACGTACACATAGCCGGCCGTTTCTGATAAAGTCGTGGGAACGGATGCGGTCCGCTGTACAATTGAATTAATCTCGATCGAACAACACGATCTCCGAAACGAAACAGGAAATCGCGTTGTCGCGCGCGAAATCGAATAAACGCGAGCGGACGATCGCGCGCGCGCGCTTACACAAACACACACACACACCGAGACTATCCGCCATTATTAACCGTTACTGTTCTCCAGAACGTTGCGCGTTATTGGCTCGCCGCGCCGGCATTTTTTTCTCCGCCTCGCCGCCGCGTTAATTAGGGTGCAACCGGTGCGACCGGGCGCAATTACTACGCGCCCGTTGTAACTCGCGTGATCGCGATCGCGTCCGGATTAATGGCGACATCGTATCGCGGTTTGTTCAAAGTCCACTTAGCCAGCCCGTGCTCCTCGAAGATTTAGAGGAGATTCGGACTAATCGATTCAGCTCATTATCCAAGAAATTGAAAGTTTTTTGGCCGCGTTTTGAGAAGAAGCAAGCAAATTTGATAGCGGTCGCGATAATAAAGTGGTAGACCGTGACGAGAATACCGAAATCATTTTTCTTTTAGATGTTGTAAAACGTTGTAAAACGCGGAAGTCTATTATATGAGCCGTTTATTTCGAAAGTGGCATAAGTCACTTTGTTTTTAAGTCGACATATTTAAGGGTTTGCGTTTTAACACGTTTAAAAATATGGATGCTAACTTTCGACAAGATTTAGTTGTATTTCTTATCTCAGGATACTGATATTTTTCTCAGTATAAATAATTTCGTATAAACATTAACCCTTTGCAGTCGACGCTGTTTGAACTCGAAATCCAAAACATGATTTCTGATCTACAGTATTTCTATTTTATATAATTTATTGCGATTTATGCATATGAAATTGAGCCTATTGCAGCAAGTACAATGCAATTTTAAGTTTTTTTAAATATATAAACGAGTCCGATGCTCTCAGAATGATTTTGAAAAATAGTATACCAATTTTTAGTGGCGCCTCAGAGTCGCCATTCGTGTGCAAAGGGTTAAAAAATCATCACTTTTCATTACGGTAAAGTGACTTATGCCACTTTCAAAATAAACGGCTCATATCTCCGCCAATAGCGACGTTACAAAAAATATGTTCTACATGGTTGATTTGATTTGTGTGAAAAGACGAATACGATGCATAATTACAATGCATTTTACATTAGAGTTTTTAAAGCCATCGATATTGATTCGTGTACAAGTGTATATGTTTTTTTTATTGTATTGTGTAGCTAACGTTGAAATGACTTTTGACTTTGTTATTCTACGTTGTTATTTATTTATTTATTTAGCTTTGCTTAATTTGTCTTCGTTACAATTATATCTCCTTCAAGATACAAAACATTAAAAAAAAGTCACCTTAAATGGAAATTCGTTTTTGCAACAGAATTTTATTCTCTTGTCAACCAACCAAATTTCATATAGAATATCTTTTGTGTCATCACTGTTGAAGGAGTAATTGAAGTTTCAAGCGAAACACTATAGTATAGTTGACAGAAGTGTGTCAATGCGTGTATGCGCATGCTAGAAAAGTTAGAAATATTTATCGAATCGTTTTGAATTTACGCGGTACACGCGATTCTGGCATGACTGATAAAAAGAATCCGTTTCAATTGATTTTAGAGTATTAACGTCGCGGAAGCTGTAAGCAATATAACGCGTCGAATGACCGAATAATGCAATCGATGCTTTCGGCGCACCGTTTCATAACGTAACATCGTATTAATCAATTGATTAGACCAGGAGTGTCAATCTCGCGGCCCGAGATGAATATTTTTAGTGTCAAGTATCAGGACACGTAAACAATAATTTAACTTTATATATGTTTATTACAATGTACTAGTCAAAATGAAAATATTGTTTGTATGAACATTGATTTTTCTTTTTTGCAGCCCACCTAAAGTTAAGCATTGTTTATTTGGCCCAAGTTAGCTTTTGAGTTCGATACCCCTGGATTAGACGATTGTACGCGAAACGCGGTTTATCTTGGGCGAAATTTCAAAAGCTGGAAGAACGTATTAAAGTGTCCGCAGCATTCCGCGAAGAAAGCGATGCTCTCGGTCGAGTGCTTCGTCGCTAGACTACCATTCCCCTGATAATATCTTTCGTCTAGCGTGATACGATTTTCATCGGACGATAACGGGCACCCGAAGGAACCGAAAATAGCGCAAACAAGTCACGTTATGCCCACCTTTTCGATGAACTGGGCGCATGCCAATGTTAACGGTCGATAAGCTATTCTATTTGGTACTATTTTCTGATACTGTTACGTGAGGAGGAGGAAGGACACCGAATGCGGTTGACTTCTGTCTGTCCAAGAAGGCGATTTCCATTGATATCGGAATATTTCTTCTTTGGAAATTTCGCTTTCCGGCTGCGTTTTGCTGCGACTCGAAGCATAAGGGAGGGCGGGGGGGACTGTCTGGGGGAATGCTCGTGCAACAAGCATTAGAATCGCTAAAAAGCGAAGAATGCGCTGGTAATACGAAGCACTAAAATATTCCAGACCGATATTCCTCCGATTTCTAATAATAAAACGTAAATATTAACACTTTATCTACTGGCAATTTTCTGACAATCATTTTTAAATCGAAGATCGACAGCTGAGAATTTCTTCAAGTTGGTCGAAAGCGATAAGATAATGTAATTAATTATTTGGATTAATGCAACCGCTACCAAAAAGTATTGCAACAGCTTTTAAAAAGTAATAACTTTGTAAAATTTAGGTTTAATTTACTGTGCAATCAGTAACATACTTCTTTCTAATTTTGATAATACAGTAATAAAATGTAACACGATCATTTGAAATTATTATTTAAAAGAAAATTGTCCAGCTTTGCTTACATATCCTTTGCACATTTCTTTACATATTTTTTTATCTTTACAAATTTCATTGCCGGTAAATAGAGCTATATCTTGGTGTTCGTGAAAGTGGCAAAAGCAGAATCCCAAATGTCTAAAAGGCAAAAACAGAGGCAAAGCTTTTATCGAGAATAGTTCTTTGACTTTAAAGATTTTCAAAATTTAGAATTTCATACAGAAAATCTTTTTATGCTTTAGAACCGTTCATGTTGTACCTTCAATGTTCTTGTGTACGTACAGTCGCCTCGAAAAGTAAGTGAACTAAGTTACGCTGCATCTAAACAAGTTTAAGTTTAGCGAAACAGACGTTCACTTGGTTGCTATGAAACGAGACATTTTTTTGTTTGTTCGTTTGTCACGTACTAAAGCATTAGTAGCGTGACTAGTATCCGTTTCACCAGCATTTTGGCGAATTATTATTTATTTCCAATTATCCGTGCATATTTCAACAGTGAAAAGTAACTTAACGATATTACAAAATGTACACTTTTGTATCTATAATAATATTAGGTCTACCGGAAAGTTCTGTCCGTTTTTGAATTGAAATATAACACACAATTTTCATACATTTAATAATATTTATTGTAGAATATACTTTCCATCGTTGCTTATGACTTCTTGCCAGCGTGATGGCAACTTGTAAATGCCATTTTTTTATAAATGATTTATTTTTAGAGGCGAAGAACTCAACCAATTGTCACTCAATATGTAAACAGAAATGGACAACTTGGGAAGAGGAGATACGATCGATCGAGTCTTGTGGCTCGTTTTTATAGTTGCAAATTATCAACAATTATAAAAACGAGGTGCAAAGCTCGAATAATCGTATCACCTCTTCCCAAGTTGTCCATTTTACATTTATTACTGTACTCATTTTTTTCTATGAATTTAGGGTGGATTAAAATAACAATAAGACATGTAATTTAGTTACTAACTTATACTTTATAAATGCAAAAATTATTAAAAATGTAGAATATTCAGAGTCGATTTTCATGACGACGAAGCCTCAGCTGAAAAAATTTTGTTCTTTACTTTCGATTTGATTTTTTATGTAGAATCACCTCCTCCTCGATTGTACCACCGATTTTGGGACTCCCTCTTATAAGTATCACACTAGTCTCTATAATAACTACCTAAATTCCTTTATATTTTATAACTGGTTAATTTTGGTCGCTGATGTTTCTCGATATCAATAAATTCATTTGCGGAATTTAATAAAATACTTGCGATGTTAAATGACATGTACCATTACATCTAAGTGTACATATTGCTTCTAAGCAGGGCTTTGATGAAAGTGGTATTTCATTAGTACCTTTTTACGTTCAAGACGTGAAGGACTTGACGTGATTCGAGTTTTGCGTAATAGCTCTTAATATTAGGTCTACCGGAAAGTTCTGTCCGTTTCTGAATTGAAATATAACACAATTTTCATACATTTAATAATATTTTTATTGTAGAATATATTTTCCATCGTTGCTTATGACTTCTTGCCAGCGCGATGGTAACTTGTAAGTGCCATTTTTTTTAAAATGATTTATTTTTAGAGCCGAAGAATTCAACCAGTGTTTGGTTGACATCAGCTTCAGTTTTGAATTTTTTTTCCTGTAAAAAGTTTTGCAAAGAGAGAAACAAGTGATAATCGGAGGGTGCTAGGTCTGGGGAGTATGGTGGATGCGACAGAATTTGCCAGCCTAGCTCTGCGATTTTCTGACGAGTCGCCAAAGCAGCATGTGGTCTGGCATTATCATCGGTAGCCATGTTTTCACGATCGCGTCTCGCTTAATAATGACACGATACATCTTTGTTTCAGTTTATTTAGGAGTGTACGTGTGTGTAAATGCAATGATAAAGAGAGACAGTCGTATATGTCTGAAATCAACATGTGCATATGGATTGAAACTTGAAGTGACACTATCGAACAGGACTTTCCGGTAGACCTAATACTTTATTGAATCCTTTTCTAAACCATAAGACCTTTTCAACGAGTATAAATCGCCTTAAAGCTATTATAGAAGCGAAATGATACCATAGTCGTTATTAGTTTAACTAAAATATATAATATTTATTACGAATTTTTTCATTTATTTTTGCTTAACTATGAAGATGAAATTCAATTACTGTTCTATTTGTATTTGTATGATTTAAGTGAATGAAAAGTGCATATTTGAAACATTTAGCATTATTATTGAACAAATATCTTATTACTCCACCTGCATACGCTGATCGTTAACTTACTTTCCAAGGCGACTATAGCTAGACAACAATGACGACGTTTAATTATTATTAGTCATCCGATGAGACATCTGTAATATCACCTACCTTTGTGTAACGCTTTAATTTCGCTAATTATTTTTAATAATATCTCGCGTTATTAGAATGGAAATACATATTTTGCAGTTCCAAAGAATCATTATCTATTATACTTTTTAAGTGGAAAATTGCCGTATTTATCATAGCATTTCCAGATTGAACAAACAGTTTTACGTAACACATGCAGAGTTTAGCGTGAAACAATAAATATGTTGAGCATGCAAGGTCAATGTGTAAAAAGACGGGACTATGTCATAATTTCAAGTTCATAAAACGACAAAGACACTCGATAAGATCAACGATTCCGGTGATATTGCATTAATAGTTGAAATCCACCTCTGAAATAACAAGCCATGTCAGAAGCCATGTTCGGTATTGCTCGCGAAGATCCCGTAAAGCAATATTCGTTACGTGAAATACAATGATCGTTTCGTACTTAATCTCCTGCGCGTTATACTTGTGCTTGGTGCAGGTGAGGATTAATGTGCACTGTTTTTCTTCGTAATTGGTCTGCAACTGCGTTTGTAAACGAACTGAAAACAGCATCACTTCGAGAAAAAGTGCTTGTTTAATTATTCAACTCGCTGTCAGCTCGTTAGCAAAAAGTATTCAGTAAATAAACTCATATTTACGATATTATTGTTATGAGTTTTTGCATCATGTTCTCTATATGAAACGAATACAATTTTTTTGTGAGTGAAATTCTGGTTCGAGAGGTTCCAGCTGAATACGATTTTGTATGCGGACGTGCTTGTTACGCAGCATTTTCACGTTTAATAAGCGTCGATGATGGTACAATGTTATCTGCAATTTATCCACTAACGATCAGTTTGATTTACATTTATATTAGAACCGTTGGCAAAAAGTTTCCGATTATAATACAGTAATGTAGAAAATATTTTTTTAAAAAGAAGAAAAAAATGATTTTGTACGCAGGTAAGACAAAAACAAATGTGTGGGGAAACGTTGATGGGATATAAATAAAGTAAATAAATACGACATAACATGATATTTCATTTATTAGCAAAAAGAAACCACGGAGAAAATAAAATGTTACGTGGTAAAAAGTTTCCGATCAGTACAAATGTTGGAAAAAAGTTTCCGATCATTGAGAATTATTAATATTTTGTTACATTACCACGTGCTTATATTATTGCTTATATTATTATATTGACATTGCGAAGTTTTCACGATCCCTAAGCGAAATTTCTTTCCACGACAATTTCATCGCATGTCGAAGTTTTTCTTTAGTTTTTGTTTTTTTTCTCGTAAATTAATTTTTGTAATTCTGCCCACATGTTCTCGATTAGGTTCAAATCGGGACTGTTCGCACATAACTTCGATGTTTTCATATGATTTTTCTCGAAACAGTCTTTAACTAATTTGCTGCGGTGATTACAGTGTTAGCGTTGTCATCTTAGAAAATGAAATCTGAAGAATCTCCGAACCATTCCTCTATCATATTTTTAACAATTGCATGCAATTTTCTATCGTCTTTTCTACTCGTCGCACGACGACGATGGCCATTTTTCTTACGGTTAGATACACCGCCTCTTTCATTATACTTCTTTTTTATATTACTTATCGTAATATACTTATATATATATTATTATATTATTATATTATATATTATATTATATATATATAATATTATTATAATAATATATATAAATAATATTATATTATATATATTATATTATTATATATATATATATATATATATACATATATATATATTATTACTTATTATATACTTACTCTGACTACATTCTATAATTTCTGCGACTTTTCTTTGACTATTACCTTGCTTGAGAAGTTCGATTACCCTTAACACGTTCTGTGACGAGCTGTTTTCTACTCGACTCTTCGCACTGGCCATTTGATATTTTACTAAAACTTGATGTATTATATGTAATTATTAATTATCGTATGTTCGTCCTTGTGGTGGAAATTAATTCTTCGCTTCTATAATTTGCCACAAACTATTTTTTTTAACGCATTAAATAGACATACAAGCGTGTACCATCGATGGTACACGTGGCACGGAACGTGTTAACTAACTCGTTTGAATACAACTTGCACGTATGGCGTATTGCACACGTCCGTCTCACTTATCCACTGACTGAAATGTTTTGTATTTCAGATGGCTCAGCGGTGAAAGCGTTTGTTTGCACTTTCACAGGCACGAGTTGCGTTTACGCTTGCTTCCCCCCCCCCCCGCTTGAGACATTATTCAAAGAGCTAGTTATTTGAACTATGATCGGAAACATTTTTTTCACGTAACATTTTGTTTTCTCTGCGGTTTCTTTTTGATAATAAACGAACAATTGCGTTATTTCGTATTTATTTACTTTATTTAATACTCTATTCGAATACTCCGTTCGTCTTAACTGCATGAAAGAGCATTTCATAACTTTGAAACGCGAATATTCTTTGTAAATTTTGTATAAGTGTATACGATCGGAAACTTTTTGTATTACATTTTCGGAATTAGAGAACCGAAGACTCCGAATACAATAAACTAGACTCAGTTAAAACAAAGTTATTGCGTTTTAAATGCTGTTGGAATACTTTTTGGTAGCGACTGCATCGATATAAATAATTTATTGGATTACGAATTTATTATCGCTTTGAAC